CGGCCAGAGAAGTCTGTAACTCGAAAAGTCTGTAAGTCGAGCTGTCTGTAAGTCAAGGGTCCACTGTATATTGGTGTTATTACATCCCATCAAGTCGCCTCCAACTCATGGTGACCCACTGAACGAGTGCTCTGCAAAATACCCTGTCCTTAGCCACCCTGCTCAGCTCTTGCAAACTCAAGCTCATCCTCTCTTTTAGGAGTCAGCCCATCTCACATTTGGTCTTCCTCTTCTCCTGCTGCCTTCCACCTTTCCCAACATTACTATATTTTCCAGGGAATCTTGTCTTCTCATGATGTGCCCAAAATAGGACGGCCTCAGGTTAAACAGATATTGTTCAGGCTTGATATGCTCAAGGACACCCTTGTTTGTCTTTCTGGCAAACCAGGGTATCCACAAGGCTCTCCTCCAGGAGCACATTTCGAATACATCATTTTTTCCCTCCCTGTCGGCTTTCTTAACTGTCCAGCTTTCACACCCATCCGTGTTGACTGGAAATATGAGTGTGGATGGCCTTGGTCTTGCTATTCAATGACACGTCCTTACACTTGGGGTCTTTTCTAGTTCCTTCATTGCTGCTTTTACAAGTCCCGGTCTTCTTCTAATAATCAGACCTTATACTGTAACTCCAGGGTTTTGAAGGGCAAGATGACACATGCATAAAACTTCAACTAATGTTAGGATTTATACCCAATTACCCACCATCACTACCCCCAACAATAAATTTTGCCTTTATAAGCGCAGGCATTCAGCCACTAACAGGAAGGAAAATGATCTGTGACCATTTTACTGGTTATTGCTGAGAATGAGAAAACCTGTCTTTACGCTGGCAAAATAAAAACCAGGCCCTCCCATTAGCATCAAAGGAAAAATCAAAGTTTGGCCTGTTTCCTTGTCCATCTTAGGCAGCAAGACATTTTGCTGCCTAAGGTGGAGAAGGAAATGGTGTCTTGATCTGCAAGTAAAGGTGCATAACATCCAAGGCTGATCAAGTTATTTGGGCACCTAAAATAGAAAATCCAAACAAGTGTTTTTTTCCTGGAACAAAAATATAGTAATAATAAAACAACAGGAAATTTGCTGCCCCTTCAAAATCTCTCCCCCCCCCCTTTTGACTTTGCCTGGTGATAGGGCAGGCTCAGAAGTCAAACTGGCTGCCTCAAACTGCTAAAAATCTTTCTGTGAAAGGAAAAAAATCTTATGGCTCCTTAAAAACTAATGAATCCATTATAGCCTGAGCTTTTGTGTACGCCTAGACCGTGTCATCAGATTCATGATCCATATTATCCAGAATTTTAGGCATAGATGTAGTACATATGGTTGGGAATGCTAAAGTTCTCAGAAGCTCAAATTATAAATTTTTGTTTTAAAGTGTCACACAGCTGAGTAACATTTTGTTTTTACAGACTTTACAGTTTTGTTGTTATGAGCTGTCAAGTTGCATCTGACTTAAAAGCAATCCTAATAGAGCTTTTGAGGATTGAGAGATATTTGAGGCATGGGTTTATAAGTCATATTTCCAGTGAATTTCCATGGCTGAGTAGAGATTTGAACCTAGGTCTCCTGAGTCCTATACACTATTTGCTAACCACATTAGCTCTTAACTGAATAAGTAAATCTTGCACTAAGTACATGTGTTTGGGATTGCAGCAGCTGTAGGGCTGCCAACGAAGATATATCAGCTTTCATGAGAAGTAGAAGCTATACATTTTACTTTGAAGCTCCATTAAATAATCTATTTTTTTTCCTAAATCACAATGAAGTACCATTGCTCTAGGTTAGGTATGTATTCAAGTCTGCTTAAGAAAAGGGAAGTTTTCACATGCCGAGATCTAAATTTTGCTGTTTGGGTTTTTTTTTCTTTAGCTGTGTATTTTTCCAAGCAACTTATGATGCAACAGTTTCTGTTATATGCATTCTGGAGTACAAACTTCTTCAATTTGGGATGCAGAAGTCCGGTTTTGAAATATGCCTGTTTGCACGGGAGGGGAGAAGGCAACATGAAAGAGTAATAAAAAAACAAAACTGCATTTTCATTTCAGAAATTATAGGGTCCATTAGGTGAATGAAGCTGAGGCATTCTAAGTGTCATCCTCATGCAGATTAACCAGTTCCCAATGTAGTGTATTGGATAGAGCAACAGACTAGGATTCAGGAGACCTGAGTTCTAATCCTTGCTCATCCATGGAAATCCACTGGGAGGGGTGGAACTGGTAAAACCACTCCGTAAATATCTCAATTATCTTGAAAACCCATAGGGTTACTATAGGTTAGTTCTGAGTTGATGGCACACAGCACAGTGTAGTGCACAAAGTGACAAACTAGGACTAATATGTGGGTTCAAATCTTCACTCAGCCATGGAAACTCATGGGGTGGGTGGCAATGGTAAAACTATTTACCGGTAAATATCTCAGTTTGGAAACTCTGTGAAGGTTGCTATAAATCAGAGTGTTGAAAATTACTTTCAAGAAGGAACAGAATGATGCAAGTAATCCATCTTGGTAATCCTTTCTTAAATTAATTGTTTTTAACTAATATAGTAATTGTATTTTTTATGATTATATATATATTATATTGATATATTTTATGTTGTAAGCCGCCCTGAGTAGACATGGTCTAGAGGGGCAGGGTATAAATTTATTTAATAAATAAATAAATCCATAATTGTGCACTGGTGGGAAGATGCTCTGAGGTTCAGAGCACTATCCTACCACTGCTTAATTATGGTTGGTTTCAGAACATTACCCTCTTCCTTAAAAGTAATATCTCAAGCTGTGCTGCTCAGGAAGAAATACACCCTCATGACCTATATGCATGTGTACATTGCACCAAGAATATGAACTGTTTTCAGTGACAACTCCCAGTTTCCCCTTGACCCTCCCGTGTCAGCTGGGGGATTTTGAGAGATGCAGTCCAAATAAGAAGCATCTCCAGATGCCTCTAGCCCGCAAATTGCTCCTTCGTTTGGAAACTGGAGTGCCTCAGTATTGTGCATGATACAACTCTGGTCACCACTGAAAAGGCCTGCATTTCGGTAGCCTTATTTTTTTTTTACAGAGGCTTGAAAACACAAGTATGAGAGAGGTACATAGAACGTACAGCTATTATAAATTAGCTGAAGGCTCATGACAGGAGTGTGCCAAATGGAGTATCTCAGTATGCTTTGCAATTTCTGGGTTATCTGCACAGCCCAAAGGATTCAGAAGCCTTTGACCTTGGTGTTACGTGCCCTCGAGTTGTGTCCCAATTTATGGCAACCCTATAAATTAGTAACCTCCAAAATATCCTGTCATTAACTTTTGCACTTTACAGTACAGCTCTTCTGGAAGTGGACCAGCTGGCTGCACACCCTTGTGCGCAGGGATCCCCAAGTATACCTGCAATGCTTTCCCACTCTTCATGCAGTTTCTTCTGTGTACTTGAATAATCAAGTAAAATGAGCTTGCTGGGCTACATGAATGACTGTGGAGAAATCAAATCAATGCAGCACTTATATGCATACAATTTATGCCCCACCATATGTACAAAAGAAGATCTAGCAAATGGCTGAGATAACACTATTGAAGCAGCCAGCTTCTGGTCAAAAATAGTCTAATTATCTTAATATCTTAGAACTGCAGGGTTGGAAGTGGCCCTATGGATTATTGAGCCCAGCCCCTGTCAAGGCGGCACAGTGGGGATTTGAACTGCCAACCTCTGCTGCCACTCTTAAACCACTAAGCTATCCAGCAACCAACTTCCTCATTACATTTTAATTTTACCTATACTGTACAGTATTTTATATAAATCCATAATTTTACATTGTGGAAGGATCTTATACAATAAAGAGGAATTAACTACACAGTTCTTGTAAACATACTTCACCTTTCGATGATGCTGTTTTCGGTACAACATAAAGCTATCGCCCTAGGAATGCAGTTCGAGGGAGTGGGGGCTTCAGTGTGATGTTCCTGGATGACTTCTGTTTCATGTGACAGCATTGTGGTTCCTTCTAAGGGATTTGGGGCGAATTTCAGGGAACAAGGATAATTAATTTGGCATTTCCAGACTTCCTAAAGGGGCAGTGATTACTAAATGTTATTCTGTAAAGCGGGGGCAGCGAGCTGGAAAAGGGGTTTAAATAAGCTTGTAATCTTTGCCCCCAATCCTAGCCACGTATCTGTCACAACTGCTCCAATTACCTATTGGAGGGAAATGTACTCTGTACACGCTCAAAGATCTTTTTATAATTTGACAAGTTTCTGAAACGGGCCCTGGATTTTAAATAAGGGATTTGAACTCTTCTTTGAATC